AAGCAGATGTTGTCTGGAGAGGTAGCTGAGAGTTCTACATCCCAATTGGCAGGCAGCAGGAAGGGAGAGTAGCACTAGGACTAACTTGAGCATTTGAAACTTCAAAGCTCACCCCTAGTGAAACAGGTCCTCCAACAAGACCACACTTCCTATTAGGGCCACTCCCAGTAAGCCTATGGGGATCATTTTCATTCAAACCACCACACTTACTGTTGCTTTCAAATGGTTATTTTTGTTAGTTTACATACAGTTCAATGCCTAGGAAATGCACTTTTGTTTTTAGATTTATTTATTTATTTATTATGAATGCAACACCCTGCCTCCATGTATGCCTGCATGCCAGAAGAGGGCACCAGATCTCATTATGGATGGTTGTGAGCCACCATGTGGTTGCTGGGAATTGAACTCAGGACCTCTGGAAGAGCAGTTGGTGCTCTTAACCTCTGAGCCATCTCTCCAGCCCCACTTTTGTTTTTAATAGATACTCAAAACCGGAGGTGTAGCCAACCCCACCCACATTTTGCACAGTTCCTTTACAGGTTTATGGATTAACTGGGAGAGAGGACTTCTGAGGCTCCATTCTGGCTTTTAGAGTCTCCATTGAAAAGCCAGGTGTTATTCTATGGTCTGCTCTTATGTTACTTGATCTTTTTTTTTTTTTCTTGTAGCTTTACTGTCTTTCTTTGTTCTGTATGTATGGTATTTTGATTGTTATTTGTCCTGGGGAATTTCTTCTTTTCCTTCCTCCCTGCCTACCTCCTCTGAAAGAGCAGCCAGTGCTCTTAACTGCCATGTCATCTACCTACCTTCTGTTTTATCTCTTCATGAAATATTTAGTTCAGAACCAGCAAACTCTTTTGGTAAAGGGTCAGATGCCATTTGAAACTTTGTGGGCACAGAATGTATATATTGCATATTTTTCTTTTGTTTTTAGTGTATCTTACCTATATGTATGTATGTATACCATGTATGTGCCTGGTGCCCACAGAAGCCAGGAAAGAATATTACATACCTTGAAACTGGAGTTAAGATGATTGGGAGCTATTGTGTGGGTTCTGGAAATCAAACTTTGACTCTCTGGAAGAGTAACAAGTGCTCATGACTGTTGAGGCATCTCTCCTACTCCTCTTTTGCAAGTTCTCATTTGTTAACCCTTGTAAACAATGTCAAAATCATTCTTCTCTCAAGATCCTGACGAAAACAAGCCATGGAATGGATTTGGGCTCCAAGATGCAGTTTGATTTCTGATTTAGTTGCTTGTGGTATTTGTTACTAAACTTAACTCTTACAGAATTTAGAAACCAAGACTTTGTTGTTCATGTATTCACATAGCTGTTATTAGACATTAAGCATTTATGCATAATTTTAATAATTAATATCTTAATCATTTGAGCTGCTGCTAGCATTGTTAGCATCTAGCACTTTATAGGTACCAGTGAGTTCTAATATAAATCTTTGCTTGAAGTTTTGATTATTTTCACACCCCAGCATTATCCTCTCATTTATCTCCCACTGAATCCCTCCTTTCCCCAACAAATCTCTTAATTTCACCTTTTAAAAAATGTATGACTCGTGTGTTTAATTGAAGTTGCTTACATGAGCATGGGTGGATAAAGTTATTGATTTTAGTAAGGGCTGCTTAACAGTGGCTACACTACTGAGATATTGTCTTCCCGTCCCTCAACAACCACTAAATAAATGGCAGTAGCATTTTAGGGAGGGAGGGAACTTCATAAGCTCCTCCCCAGTCATGATGGAGTGTTTGCCAGGTCCTATGTGGCGCAGGTCTTGTGCAGTTAACCATAACTGTGAGTTCATGGGCTCAATAGCTGTGTCATGTCCAGAAGATAGAGTTTCATGGCATTACTCCTCTCCTCCATCTCTTCTGTTCTTTCCGCCTCCCACTTCTATGGTGTTTGCTAAGCCTATTGATGTCCTGTTGAGGGCTGAACATTCAGCTGTCACTTACTCTCGTCACTTTGAATCTTTGTATTCACCACTGCCCAGTGCAAAAAGAAGTTTATCTGACCAAGGCTAAGCTCAGCACTAGCCTGTGTGTATAAACATAAATATTTAGAGGACAACTTGACAAATGTTACTTAGCCAATATTTATAGTGGGTTCCTCCAAGGCCCTATGACCTTCCCAGCTATGGGCTTTTCACCAGGTTCATAATGTCAGATAGGATTTCTTTCCCACATAGTAGACCTCAAGTCAAATCTGAAAGTTGGTAACAGTCACACCTGTTGTACCAGTGGGCACATCTTGCCTGACAGGTTGGTATTGTAGCATACAAGGTTCTAGTGGATAAGACTTGATGACTTTCCTCCCCCAGCAGCCCACTAGTACTATGAAAGCTAGCCAGCAGGGAGGAAGCATCCTGCTCAGTTCTAGATTAATTTCTTTATGTCTTGCAACAGTAGTGTGTGATCAGTAGGTCCTTCCCATTTATTTCTGGTGGGCAACCAAGAACAATGCTAATAGCCTGCATTGTTTTGGGACCTTTTACCAACAACTCAGGAAGGTTCCCATACCCAGAGCTGAGATTTCTATCTAATAACCTATAGCTTCTGGGAGCAACATTATTTGTCCATGTGAGATACTTCCATTTTCTTTTTAATTATATTTTTAAAGTAGCTTATGAAGTGGTGTCTCTCTGTAGAATTTTTAAATACATCTTCAATATCGGCTAACTCTTCCCCTTACCCATTCCTTTCCCCATTTCCCACCATACTTTTGCTTATTTAAAAGATTGTTGGGAAAGAAGTTACTGGTTTAAAGGACTTGAATTTTGAGTGTTTGTATGTTGTCCCTGTGTATATGGTAAATGTATGTGAGTATGCATGTGTATGTCCACATGCATGGGGAGGCCAGAGTGGGGTGTCAGTTGTCCTCCTCTATTGCTCTTGGCCTTATTACCTTGAGACAGTTTCTGCCCCTAAATGCTGGGGTCTTAGGCACATGGAGACACGCCAGCCTTTTTATATGGGTTCTAACTCAGGCCCCTCGTGTATGCAGAACAAGTACTTTTACCCGCTAGCCATCTTCTTAGCCCCAGGACTTGAATGTTTTAAGGCTCTTGTTGACTACTGAAAAAAATTGCTTCCCAGAAAGATTTTTACTAGTTTATGTGATTCAGAACAGTATACTAAGATAGTCATTATATGTATTATTCTAATACATATTGTGGTATATTACATTATATAATCTGTAACAATCAGAACAGCCTATATTATGCTATAGTAACAAACAGTCCCCAAAATCTTGGTGCCTTATTACAATAAAGTTTCTTTTCTTTTCTTTTGCTCCTGATATATATATGTATATATATTAATATTATATATATATAATTATATGTCAGCAGGAAAACCTATCTTCTTTGAGGGATCTAGGTAGCCATCATCTCCACAAATTTCATCTATCCCATCAGTTGCTTCTGTAATCTCTGTGTTGGTCTTCTAGTTTATAGTGACCTAAGTTTATACATAGAAGTGTCTCGTGCCTGTATTCATTTAGTAAGATGGATATACCAAACTTGAAAGAAGGTCATGAAGTACAGTCTTAACCATGAATTAGAAATTTTTTTATATTATTTATTTATGGTAGGGAGCTCAAGTATGCCACTGTGGATGTGTGCAGTCAGAGGACAACTTACAGGACTCAGTTCTCTTCTTCCACTGTGGAGATGCCAGGGACTGAACTCAGGCCATCAGGCTTGACAGCATGCACCTTTACCCACCAAGTCATCCTGCCTTGAATTTTAAGATCTGGAGCAACACAATTGGTTAACACATTTACAATAACTATAACTATGTCAACAAAAGATGATGATAGCTCATTTTAATTTGATTTTTTAAAAACCAGGATAAAGAGTTGTGTCTCATATTTATGAGACTTTAAAATTTTTAAGTTTCTGTTTTACTTAGCTTTTATAAATGTGTGCTATTGGCTTGCTTTTACACTTCCCAATTTTCAAATTCTATTTGTGTGTGTGTGTGTGTGTGTGTGTGTGTGTGTAGATGGTAGCCAGATAATGCTAGTATAGAAGCCAGATGCATTATCGCTCTCCCTATCTCCTCCCTCCTTCTCCCTGTGTGTGTGTGTCTTCTGTCTGTCTGTCTGTCTGTCTGTCTGTCTGTCTGTCTGTCTGTCTGTCTGTCTGCCTGCCTGCCTGCCTGCCTGCCTGCCTGCCTGCCTGTCTGTCCCCAGAGAAGTATGCTGGGTTCCCTTATCAAGTCTTCTTTATTCCCTTGAGAAAGGGTCTCTCACAGAACTTGTAGCTCACAGCTAGCTGGGCACTGAGCTCTTGGGGTCCATCTGTTTTTGCCCCCATGCTGGGGTTTCTACTCTTTTATAAGGATGCTAGGGATCCAAACTCTGGTTTTTGTGCTTGTGCATCAAGTTCTATGTCTTAGTGTTTCTGTTGCTGTGATAAAACACCACAACCATCACCAAAAGCAACTTGAGGAATAAAGGTTTATTTCACCTCATAGCTTATAAATCCGTCACCGAGAGAAGCCAGGTCAGGAACTTGGGGCCGGGAACTGGAGCAGAAGCCGTGTAAGAGTGACTTACTGACTTAACTCCCCATGGCTTGCTCACACCTGCTTTCTTATAGCTCCCAGGACTACCAGCCCAGAGTTGCACAGCTCACGGTGAGCTGAACCCTCCCACATCTATTATCAATACAAAATGTACTACAGGCTTGCCCACAGACCAGTATGGTTGACTGTTTTCTCAATCTAAGTTCCCTCTTCGAAAATGACTCTGGATTGTGTCAGATTGATGTAAAACTAGCCAGCACATCCTCTAACTTATTGAACTATCTCCCCAGCCTCAAGAGTTCTTAATTCTTGACTTGGTACTGACTTCTAAAGAACAAATGATCACAAAAGAATTAGGGAGTACAATAATCAAGTTAAGGTTTCACTACATGAAGAATTAAAGTGCCAGCTCAGATTTAGTTTTATTGACCATGTCCTTTTTTCTTTTTCATTTCAGGTCTAATCCAGGGCTTGTGCTTTAGATGTTTCTTGGTGGCTTGTCTGAAAAACCTAAGGTAAGATATTTATGAATGCATTTGCCACTTTAAGTACATTTTATAATGAGAATGAATTGCTTCTGAAAAAGTTAAGGTGACACTCAATGTCTTTCCCTGAGTGTTTTAATAGGAAGCAAAACTTGATTATTGTTCTATGTAGCAGTCTGCCGGTTTGCAGTTTATGGACTATTTGGGAAATAAACTGACTCCATTGCTAAGATACTTTGGACTGTTCTTCCCTCCCTGCCTCCCTCTCTTTTTCTTCTCTCATATATTACATCCCAACTGCAGTCTCCTCTCCCCCAATCTCTCCTCTCTAGTTCCCCTTTCTCCCAGAATCACCCCACTCTGTCTTCCCTCAGAAAAGAGCAGGCCTCTCAGGGGCATCAACCAAACATGGCATAACAAGTTACAATAAGACCAAGCACATACTATCACATCAATGCTGGATGAGGCAACACAATAAGAGGAAAAAAACCAGAGACAGTCCCTGTTCCCACTGTTAGGAGTCCCACAAGAACACCAAGTTACTCAGCCATAACATACATACGGAGAACCCAAGTCAGATCCAGACAGGCTCGCTGATCTCTGCGAGCCCCATGGGTCCGAGTCAGTTTGATTCTGTGGACTGTGTTCCCATGGACCCTGGTCCCCCTGGTTCCTCTGATTATTCCTGCCTCTCCTCCACTGGACTCCCTGACCTCTACCTAATGTTTGGCTGTGGGACTCTGCATCTTCTCCCATCAGTTGCTGGATGAAGTCTTTCTGGTCTCTTTGAGGACTCTGCTAAGTTTTGGTTCCCGACCACTCCGTACGCAGGATAAAGGTTTTTGTGACTGGGTTTGTGTCACAATCCCAGCACTGGAGTGTATTTTTAAGATTTCTTTCTCTTCTTGAAAATTGAGTTTAAGTGTATGTTGCTCATCTGACCTGCTTAAAGAAAAATTTGGCATTGTAACCTAATGGTTTTTAAGATTTTTATACCTATTTATTTATTTAGAGACAGTGTCACTATATAACACTGTTTGGCCTGGAACTTCCTTTGTAGGCCAGTCTGGCTTGAACTCTCAGAGATCCATCCATCTGCTTTTTGTTTCTGAAGTGCTGGAATTCAAGATGTACACCTTTACACCCTAATCTGATATGTTTTAAAAACAAATCGATATTAGTTAAGTCAGATTAAAACAACTGCTACTTTAAAAAGACCAGTTAGAAGGGATTCATACAACTCTACTCTTACACTCAATTATGCTCTATAATTCCCTCTGCTTGTAGGTTTATGTAATAAGGTGTATCTGTTTGTGTGCTAAGTTGGTTTCCCCACATAGTTTCCCTTTTACGGAAAGCTTCTGAAGATAACATTCTACTCTAAAGCTAATTCTAAAGTCTTCTGTTTTCTTACCTGTCTTGACTCAAGTCCTCTTCATTTCAAATTTTCTATTAAAAATAAATGCGTGGGGGTAGGCTGGAGTTGTAACTTAGTTGGTAGAGTACTTACCTAATGCTCACAAAGCCTTCGGTTGGCTCCCCAGCTCAACATTAATCTAGCATGGCAGTTCATGCCCATGATGCCAGCACCTGGGAGAAAGAAGCAGGAGACCCAGAAGCTCAAGGTCTTCCCTACTTTGAGAGCTTGAGGCTAGACAGATGAATGCATGAGACCCAGTGTCCAAGAGAAAAAATTTCTCCTTCATTTGACCATTATACCTTTAGTCTAGTCTTCTACTGGGAGTCCAGCTGCTCTAAGCCATTCTAGTCACTGTGAACATGGTAGTTCTCCTCTCTCAAAGGTAAATGTCAGCATGCCAGTCTGATTTTCAGAATCCTTCAACGTCTTTGGATTCTGTGATATTTTAGACTCCTTCAGAAGAAAGCATTGCAATCTTGTCTTTCTCTGTATTACCTTCAACTCACTAGCATCCTAAGCATGATCATTTAGTTCTATCATATCTGTACTGAGAAATCATTTATGTATCATAAAACTGACTCACAGTATATAATTTAATAATTTTTGTTATATTTCAGAAATGTACAACCATTAATACAATCTAATTCTGAAGTTTTCTTCAAAATTCTTAAGAGTATTAAATGGCAGACAGTGGCCATCTCACCTATGTTGGTTGTTGATGTATTTGTTGTTTACTCATCTGTTCTGGACAATTCTTTCACATTCTTTGAAGTTTCAAGGTTCACCCATGTTGTGGAATGTTTCAGTACCTCATTACCTTTTGTAGCAGAATGATAGTCTATTGTTTGCATTAGGTCCTGGGCTAGGGAAAGAGTTTTTGAGTAGTCAGATTTTTTGTTTTTGTTTTTCAAGGGTTAAAATAAAATTTTAAAAAAATTACTATTTTTGCTGAATTAGGATAAACAAGAGGCTGAACCTAAGGAAGTACAAGCAAGGCCCTGCTGTCAGGCAGCTCAGTACAGAGGTGGTGGCCCTCCCTCTCAGTGCTTCGGACACTGAAGTATTATGGATCCAGGGCAGGCTGGGGACCAGATGAAAGAGTGGCCATGTGCTGAGGGAGACTACAGAACCAAGGCTTTCATATTCCCCAGTTTGTGGTGAGAGTATGTCAAAGGGCCTAAGGAAAGGCCTCGGGCTGAAGATCACAAAGACACTTCTGAATGATGCCACCTGATCTAGGAATGCAGCTCTGCTTCAAAGCATGATGACTGTGGGACATGTGAGGGGTAGGGTAGGGCATCTTCCCTGCAGTTCCCTTTAGACGCTGCAGCCTATTGCCTCTATCAAGTTTGCTCCTGTCACCAAATGTCCAGGCTCTCTGCACAGCCCCTTACCATCTTGTGGTTCTTTTTTTTTTGTTTTGTTTTGTTTTGCGAGACAGGGTTTCTCTGTATTGTTTTGGAGGCTGTTGGACCATCCCGGCCTTGAACTCACAGAGATCCGTCTGCCTCTGCCTCCCGAGTGCTGGGATTAAAGGCGTGCGCCACCACTGCCCGGCTGTAGCCAAGTGGTTCTTATACTGCCCTGTAAGTGGACCCAGGGTGTTCTGGGATTCCAGATAGGTGGAAAGTGGTCTCTGGGAGTGAGACCCAGTACCACTTCCTTTTGGTGCTCAGCACTGCTTGTTACTCAGGAAGTAATGTGGTCACCGAGGTCTGAGTCCTCCTGTGATCTAAAGGAAGTAATGTTTCTAATAATCTCTCAGCAGACCTACCAGGCTTCATTGTTCTGAGCCTTTACTCATTTTAGTCTGTTGATCTTTTGCTATATGTCCAGAAAGACTTCTCTAAGTTGATATTGTTTTCATACTTCTGCCCAGAACTTTTAGTGCCTTCTCTTTTCTTTGCGATTAAGTTCAAACTCTCACATCGCCCATTGATCATCTCTTGTGACCACCACTTACTTTTTAATTTTTAAAATACTTATTTTTCAGCCGGACATTGGTGGCACACGCCTTTAATCCCAGCACTCGGGAGGCAGAGGCAGGCGGATCTCTGTGAGTTCGAGACTAGCCTGATCTACAAGAGCTAGTTCCAGGACAGCCTCCAAAGCCACAGAGAAACCCTGTCTCGAAAAAACAAAACAAAACAAGCCTATTTTTCAAGTCTTTTTTTGTTTTTTGCAAGTAGATACTCTTCCCTATCTGTACAACTTTGCACACAAATATCAAACAAATGTCTATTTTCTTAGTGGCTTTTAAATATGTCTAATAACATGTGACTTATTTAAATGCTTATCATTCAATTGGCTGGTCTCCAGGTTTTTTAAAAATCAATTTCCCAGTCTAATTGTCCCTTTAGCTACTTAATAATGTAGTGTTTGTAAAATAATTATTATGTGAAATTGAATCATCTTGACTAAGTACAGGAACTGATTGACCTATTTGCAGAGGAATTTACTTAAATTCTGAGCATGAGAGGAAGAGAAATTTAAAGAGTTGACTAAGGAATGTATATAGATAGTAGAGCCATTAATGATACAAATAGTAAACTTTTTTTATTATGATAGCAACTCGGTGCCTAGCTATATGGTTGATATCTATGAATAAAATAAACATAATAAAAATAATTCTGTCTACCTTATCCTAAGCTAATAATATTATTTAAAGTTTCAGTTTGGAAAATTCATTTAAAAACAGCTTGTCTTTGGAAATTTATTCTTATAATAAACATTTTTGTATCAAGAAGCTGATTTATTCTGCTAAATAAAGCATAGGATTGTATCCTTGAATGTGACTAGATTATTGGCCGAATAAACAACTGCCTCCTGAAGCATATTTCTTTGTTTACTCAAGTTATGTGTGAGAAAGGCCTTGCCACTGTTTAAGGGATGTAGGAGGAAGTGTCATAGGTTTTAGTCATGATTCCAGTTTGTCTGGCTGATATTCGATGACTTCTTTTCCTCCTGAGTCAATCTTGTTGTGAAGACCAGTTTGCATGTACATGTGGAAGTATTCTGTAACTGGGAGTCTAGATTCAGGGCTGAGGCAAGAGCTAGTTGGAACTTTTGTTTATAAGTACCATTACTACTATGTTCAGTTCTTACAACTTAGGACTTAGAATTAATTTTCCTTTTATCTTCTGCTTACTCTTATTTCTTTTGCTGATATACATGTCTGTCAGATAGTCAGCCTGAGTTCCATTGTTTTTCATGGGTTTTGTTTCATTTAATAATTAAATTTCATTTGATAATGAATCTAGTGTGGTAGGTGGTATTGCCTTACTTTCCTATTGAGGAAAACTCAAGGATTGGGGAGATTACATAGCTGCTGAATGCTAGAGGTGCTATTCCAGTCAGTTTTCTGAAGACAGTGTTCCTTTTTTAAAACACGTGTTTTAAGTGAAGACCTATTGCCATGTACCTCAGCTAAAGCAAGCTTTTTATCTCCATTTTCCCCCTTTTCTTGCTCTCAGTAATGGTTAATGTCTAACCAAAATGCTATTATATAAACATATATATATATATTGATAGCATAACTTGGAAATTTTAACATTACAACACCATTAAATGTCTTATTAATATTATATAACATAGAGCATGCATCTAAGAA